CTAAGTTGTCATGAGCAAATTGTATGTTTATAAGCCCCAACATTGAAAGTCAAATATTTGAAAGATTTTCTTGCTCTTCCACAGCAACCAAAAACCAAAAAAACGAACTGGTCTAGTGGTATTGTGAAAAGACCCACTTTAAGAGACAAAATCCTGGAGGAATATAGAGGCAAACTGTAATGATGCAGAGATTATTTAATAGTTGCATGTATCTGCAGTGTTACACTTGCAACTATATAAAAGGAAGGCCTGACTGGCTGTGTATCTTAGGGCAAGCATTCAACCATCATGCAACTTAGCTGCTGCCAAAATACAGAGCCAGATCTTGGCAGTCAACAAGCAAAGTACGTTCAACTGGGAGCCTGAAGTACATGAATTCTAGCCAGGAAGTCCAAAGCTGCTCATGTTCTGGTTATGTTTGAAGCTGAATAGAAGTTCAAAGTTTTATAAGAAATAATTTCTGTTTCAAACTAAATAGTGAGTTGACTCATTCCTCATTGTAAAAATAATTCACTCAGTACAATAGGAAAGAAGGTTGTTTATCATGTATCAATACAGAAATCGCATGCCATGAGACCAGACAAAATTGACTACAACATTGCAAGTAACTACAGCAATAGAAAATACCTGAACAATACAACTGCCTTCTTAGATGCGTAACACAACAAACAAATCTTTTCATACATTATTTCTAGCAGGAATGCAGAATATGAAGACACAAAAAGCTAGTTATACTAGTTATACAACCAAAACCTGTAAATAATTTGTTGCTAGTATTTTCTAACATATATACCGCTGTCATAAACCAACAACAGCAGGGAGTTCTACTAATCACACTTTTTTCAAATTCAACAAAACCCAACATCAACGTAATGTAATATGCAATGAAATAACGTAATATCAAGTAAACAACAATATCAAATGACAATTTTGTGTGTACCTGAAAACATATTAATGCATTGGTATTAAATACCTTCCACAGTCAAAAAGAGGACTCAAGTTACGATGCTGGCTGCCTCAAGTCACTTCACAATGTCACTTCACAGAAGAAGAGGATTCTTTGAATTTCCTCTTTTAAAGTGTAATTTTAAATAACTTTTACAAGCAACATTGGTGCATTCATAAGATTCCTCTACTGAAAAATCTACAAATTGAATTCAGAAAGGCTTAAATTGCACCAACTGGCCAGTAGCTTCCGATAAACAGTTAAAAATAGAAAGTCAGCAGCTAACACATTGACACTGGTGCAACTGTCATCCATCAATGACAAACCATGCCCTGGCTTTTCATGATCCCTTCAAGGAGTACACTACTATTATTTTTATAAAAAGCTCAGTATTGGTTGATGCTAAAACAGTAAAGAATTTAAAATAATATCAAAATGTCAAAGAAGTTCAACAATTATTTTCTCATGGGTAGATTCCTCTTTAGTGCCTCTTAAACAGTTTAACGAAAGTATTTTCCCTTTCAAGTGGTTCCAAGCTGTACTTCAGATCTGCTATCACTGCTGAGATATAATAGCAACATTTCTTAGTTTGCATCTATCTCGATATACACATGAGAGTGGAAGAAATATATGTGCATTTCAAAGTTATAGCATAATTTAAATACATGAAATTAAGTTTAATAAACAGAGTTATTTTACTCTCAGAATGTTTGTGGCTAATTAATATAATTCCTTCAGACTTGGCAGAAATTTCCAAGAAGTGCTCAAGTGTGCATATTCGTAGACATAAGGGTAAAGATTTTACTGATTATGTTAGCCATCTTACATCAATCAATTCTTTAACCCATATGGAGACATAATCTGAATACTAACCAGTCCATTACATACCAGGAGAAGAATATAGGTAGTTTTCAATGGAAAACTAACAAACTGATCCAAAACTAATCACAGGATCTGAAGAAAAGTTATTCACACAAGCTGAAGCAAATACTGACAGATATTCTTTTGGCTTTGAGTGATATCATTTACGTACAGTTATTATCTAGAGCTTTATAATATTAAATAATTTACTGTAATGAAATTCAATTATAATATTTTAAACAATTCCTTAGTAAATACGTACATTATAAGATATGCAATATAAAGTTTGAACATTCATTTTTATTTCATAAACTGCATATCTATATTACATATTCTGTTTTCTGGAATAGTTTAACTGCAAATCATTCTATGAATATATATAAAGTTGGAAAGCAAAATCTGATTAGTTCTACAGCAATGTATTTTGTTAAACAAAGCCAGGAAATGTTCTGATGTGAAAAATGTTTGAGAATTTCAAGCTAACTCTGATAAACTCCACAAAAAATGAAGGAAAGAAAGAAGGAAAGAAAGAAGGAAAGAAAGAAGGAAAGAA